GATCTTAGTCGAGGTCCACTTTTCCAATACCGAGTTCAGGTTCTGGGAGAGGTGGGCAGGGAGATTTTACTTGCTTTAAGTGTGGTCAGCTGGGCCACAAGTCTCTAGCTTGTCCTCAAAGAGGAGGAGGACAACGAGCAGTATCATCTTGAGCTCGTTTCCAGAGCCAGAGTTAGGGAAGAGGCCAACCGCTCACTTGTTATCAGTGCGAGCAGGCGGGGCACTTGGAGAGGTTTTGCCCACAGTTAGGTGGTACACCTGGTGCTTCTTCTTCGAGATAGACACAGAGTCACCTGCCAGCACAGTCAGCACAGGCCTCAAGGGCCAATCACGGAGTCTCTTTAGCTCAGTCTATGTATTAAGCTTATACTCCGAGGGGTGAGCAGGCTGAGCAGAGGCCTACTGGATGTATGTTTATAGTTGTAGGGCCAAATCTTGTACCTGATCCTTTTGTAGTGAGAGGTACCTTTTTGTTTTGCAATTCAGTTGCTAATGTGTTGATTGATACGGGTGCATCCCATTCTTTTATTTCATATGCGTTTGCATTAGTTTTGGGTTTGGAGTTGGCATAGTTAGCATCTTCTATTTGTGTAGAGTCACCTGTTGGTGGTCAGACTATTTTGAGACAGGAATGTCGGGGTTGTGACATCGAGGTTGCTGGTCGTCGATTACCTGTTGCATTTGTATTGATTGACATGCTTAGTTTTGATGTCATATTGGGTATGGACTGGTTATCGTCATACCGGACTGTTATAGATTGCTACCGTCAGAAAGTTACTGTATGTACCTTGAGTGGCAATTGCTTTTATTTATTGGGCGACCAGGTGGATGGAGTCTTATCACCGGCATATGATCCGCATGGGCGGAGTGAACTTAGTTGTCTCTTTGCTAGCTTTTTGAGTAGTGAGTGTGATGAAATTCGGGGTGAATTGCCGAGGGTAGTTTGTGAATACTCGGATGTTTTTCCCAAGCATCTTGTTAGTTTACCATCTCACCGAGAGATCGAGTTCTCTATTGATTTAGTGCCTGGCACGGCACCGGTTTCTATGACTCCATATAGATTTGCACTTGCTGAATTGAGTGAGTTGAAGATTCAACTCCAAGAATTGTTAGATAAGGGTTTTATTCGCCCTAGTA